ATAGGACGGTCCGCGGCTTTTCTAGCACCGGCCACAGAGCAGCGAGTGTCCACGGATCGTGGCACCGCCTCCGGAACCAGGGCCCACAGAGATGTGTGCAGGCAGGAAGGTGTGGCTGGCCCAGCAGGGCGGTGGTCATGGTCACTGCAAAGGTCATGCCTCGCGCCTCTGGGGACTCAGCGCAAACCATGTCCTTGCATGCCCGCTCCTCTCCGTGACCCTCCAGATGCTCTCCGGTCCCCGCAGCAAGTCCCCTCCAGCACCAGGTGGAGGACACGAGTCCTCGCATGCTCCTGTGTCTGCACGCGCTGTCCCGCTCTGGCCGCAGGCTGGAACAGGAAAAGTGAAGAACGAGTGTCGCCGTGTTTCTCAGAAGCAGCTGGAGAAGGTGCCATCCTCCAGGGAAGGGCTTGGCTCTGGGGACGCCTCCTTTCATTCGCCGGGTAGAGCCTCCAGGCCCCAGGAGAAGGGGCGCCCAGCCCGGGCCTCTCGGGGCAACAGTCTAGCTCTGATCACGTCCCCATTGGACCCCCCCAGGCTTAGGACTTTGCCTACTGTCCCACCAGGGACCTACGGGCACCTGGTTCTGCTCCTCGTGCTCCCAGCTGGCCAACTGCAGGGGCTCCTTCCAGGCCCCGTCCTGCCACAGCTGGGACCCTCTCCACAGCTGGTAACCGCAGCACAGTGCTTCCCGCCCCAGGCCCTTTGCCACTGGCCTCGGGGCTCCGTGACCGTGGGGCTCCTGCCTTCCTGTCCCTCACCGTGCCGTGCCCGGCACCACTGTACTGGGGGCTGGAACCCGCTTTGTGTTTCTCCAACAAGCCAGACTTGAGCTTACCTCAGGGCCTTTGCACGGGTGCCTTCTCCTCCAGTGCTCTCCCACCCGCTGGAGCCCAGCTCTCTCCTGTCCGGTGGACCTCCCGGTGCAGGTGCCTCAGTCCCCCTGCGGGAGTCCTCACGGACCTTAGATCCGCGGCCTTTAAGCACATTTTGCACACAGCCCTACGAGTCAGGGTTGTCCTGCTCGTCTGAATGCTGGTCCCGGACCACCCGTCAAAGGACGGCTCTCACCGGCCCCATTTCCAGCACAGAGGACCCCGAGCTCTCGGTTCTGTTGAACGGCATTCTTGTGTGTCCACCCCAGGGAACGCTGCTCCTGGCGGCTGTCCCAGCCCCTGCCCGGCACCCGGGCTGCTCCAGTGCATGGGGTCACGGCGGGGCTGGCGCGCCCAGAGGGCATCTCAGGCTGAACATGGTGCACACCATCTGCGTGCAAATGCGTGCCAGCTTTACATAGTAGCCCCGCTGTGAGTCGGCACCCACGCCACCCAGACACGGGCCCCGCCCCCAGAAGCCGTGTGGACTGGAATGTTCCGTCAGTACACTGCTAATTAAATGATGCTAACGCCCCGAACACGAAGGGGTTGGCGGCCACTGGGGGAGCAAAGACAACCCCCAAAGGCTACGGATGGCACGATTCACTTCCGTTTCCCTCGCGAGGTGACAGATGGCAGCTGCGGGGACTAGGGGGTGGCCGCCGGGCATGGACGGGGGCAGCACAGGGGAACCAGGAGGGGGCCCTTGAGAAGGGACTGTCTTGGCTGTGGAGACTCTCACGTGCACACACACGTGCAGACAGACACATGGACAGGCACACACGGGCACACACGTGTGCTCACACACGTGCCAGAGCAGGCGGCAGGCCTGGGACCCATCAGCGTGGGCAGCCGAGCCAGGCAGGTGTCCACAGGGGCACACGGGCTGGAGCTGTTACTGGGACCTGTGGGCGTCTACGGCGGTCTCGAAACCGGCGAGCTGAAACCACATCTCGTGGCCGCGTCTGCATGTGGTGGCCGCGTCGTGACCTGCCTGCCCTTGGACGTTCAAAGGCTGCTTGCCGCACGTGTCCCTGATGGTGTCTTCAAGGACACGCTCGGCTCCCCCCTGGGGCTCAGGCCTGGAACGGGGCCCACGGGATAAGGTATCTGAGGGAACAGTGTCCCCGACGGGAGGGGCTGGACGGCGAGGTGGGGTGGGGGGCGCAGCCGCAGGCCCGTGACACTCTGCACTGCTGAGGGTCCTCCTGAGCCCGTGCCAGGGCGGGGGGCTCTGCCTGCACTCGGGTCTCTGGCAGTGGCCCCGGCCAGCATCCTGCTGAGGCCTCGCAGAACTTCGGGCAGCGCGTGGCTTCGCTGTGGAGAGTGCGGCGGAAACCGTGACGGGAATGCTGCACGGCAGGGACAGGGACATCGCAAGGCTCACCCACGGGCTCTGACCGCGGCTCCTGCTTTGCCCACCAGGGAGCTCCCGACGGTTTACTTGGTCGCGCGCACACTCAAGCCTTCAGCCGGCAGGGGCGACCCTGCTGCTGAGGTGAACCGGGCTCCCCCGGGCCGAGCAGAGGTGAGAGGGTGAGGGCGCCCGGCGGCCGAATGAGGGGCGCACAGACCGCGACTCCTGCTCGTGGAGGCTGGCGGCCCTAGGGCCTGGGTCCGAGGGAGGCCTGGTTCAGGGAGGTGCCGTGTCCCCAGGGCCAAATGCTCCCATGGGTACAGGGTTTCCCCAGGTCGCATGCCTGAGCCCCAGCCTGGGGGCCCGAGGGTGGGGGCGAGGTCGCTCAGGAGAGTCGGTGGGGGGTACACACGAGGTGCACTGACCAGGTCTCTGTCAGCCCCTTCCCGCCCCCGAGGCACGAGCCGCACGGAGGAGGGTCGCAGAGGCCGGGCCTGGTTCAGGCTTCCGGTCCCACAGTGGCCTTGGCCCTTTATTTTGCCCTGAGCGGCCTCAGTTTCCCCATCTGTAAATGGGGGAGAAGGTGACAGCGAGCAGACTTACTCCATGGTCCACACTGTTCTGCCACTCTCCACAGACAGCCTGTCCTGCTGGGGCAGGGGGCAAGGTGTGACAGGCTGGGGCAGGTTAGCCCCTGGCCTGGTCAGCAGCAGAGTCACGCCTGAGGCCGCCAGGAGTCAGGGTCTGTGGCGTACGGGGTCTGTGGCCGGGGTGGGGGGCATGCCTGGGTCGCCAGAGGACCCGGCCCCTCTACGCTCGCTCAGTGCCCAGCCCATGGTCAGAGTCGACCCCACATCCCCAGCCCTTCCGGCACGGCTGTCTGTGGCTCCGAGGTGCCCGGAAGCTTCCGGTTCTCCAGGCCGGGGTCGGAGGCAAGGTCAGCCAGATCCCCAGGCCCAGCAATAGCCTCTTCAAGTGCCCTGCCCCCCTGCGGTGCCCAGCACCCCACCAGCACAGGGAGGGCAGCAGTGGCCCCCCCCCTCCCATGGCCCCTTGGGCCCTCAGCGACGCCCTCTGTGTCCAGGGCCCCAGTGGGGAGTTGGATGTGCCGCAGGAAACCGCCGACCTGCTCAAAGGGAACAGTCTTGTTGAAACCCACAAAGGAAGCCGGGAGGTGTGGGGACTGGGGCTGGCTGTGTCCCCGGGTCTCCCTTGTTGGAGGAAAGGATGGGCTGAGGCTCACGAAGAGGGCAGCAGCGCCATGGCCTCGCGAGCCAGCAGGGATCCCGTCGGGCTGGGAGCAGAGCGGCTCTCTGATGCCTAGGCCCCGTCCTGCCCAGTGAGCCACAAAGGGCGTGTGGTAGCCAGTGTCCCGACCGTGAGGCACGTGGGCGAGACGGGTGCGGGGACACCAGGTGCTGTGCAGGGCTGGCCAGGTGTCCAGTTCTGAGTCGGCAGGTGCTTCTGCATGGGGAGCGCCAGTGGGCGCGGGGCCTCCAACCCGGGGGCAGGGCGTGCCCACGAGCCCTCCGGGTCCCTCTGCTCGAGGCCGGTCGGTAAGCTCAGCCCACCGCCCCTGCCCACATGGCCTCAGCTGACCGGTGTGCGGGGGACACGCCGCGCAGCCCCACGGTCACTTCCCACCCGCAGCTCGCTGGAAGCAAACGGCACTCCAGTCATTACTGAACAGAAGGGTGGTTCTCGTTCACCTTCTCGTCTGCGAAATGCAGGCCTTGGAGGTCTCCCTGGGCTTTGGGAGCGGGAGGCCCGGGCATCACAAGGGGCCCGTTGGCCGCCGCACCCCCTCTCCCGTGGAGCGGCGCCAACGCACAGATGCACATGAGTCTGCAAACACAGTCCTCGCCGCGCACCTGCCATCTGCTCGGTGGAGCACTGGCCTGGGTGCCCTGGCTGGGATGCCGAGCCGCCCCGTCGGGGGCACGGCCAGGCCCAGGGAGGCACCGAGTTTCTGCTGGGCTCCAGGCATGTGCATGGCTCCCACGATCCCACCCTCCCGCGTGCGGGGCTGACCTGGCCTGTCTCGGAGGTGGGCGCGCAGGTCGGGGGGCAGGACGACAGCGGCTCTGCCGTCTCCACCAGACGGGCCGCCCGATGGCCCACCTGCTGGGCTGAGGCCACCAAGGTGGATGGCTCCTGTGCTTCCTCCTTGGGCCCGCGCTACCCCCCCCCCGCCCGCCCCATGTCCTCCCATTGCCTGGTCTGCCCCCCTAGCCCCGCCGGAGTCCTGCCCCGCCGACAGCCCTGTCCCATCACCTGGCCTGCGGCTTCTAGGCTGTCCACCCCCTTCTCTGCTCAGTCCCTCCAGGGGGTCCCAGGAGACGCCTTCCACCCCTCCCCCACACTCCTCCTCCCGGGTCCTGCGCCTGGCCGTGGTCACAGCAGCTCCGGCCACACAGCGGCTCAGGGACGTGCTGTCCCAGCGCCGCCCACAGCTGAGCCACCGCTAGCACGGATGTGCCGTGGGGAACGGACCCGGCACGACCGGCCTTCCTGGTGCCTGAGCTGATGCTCTCCCCATGCCTCGCTCTTCCCAACACCAGCTGGGCAGCAGCCGTCCAGCGGACGATGGGCGAAGGTGTGCTCCCCGCCCTGCCACCGCGGACCCCAAGGGAGGCCACACACAGAGCAGGACAAAGCACTCGTTCTCCTTGAAACACAGAGTGAGGATAAAGTCCGGACTGTTTGTGTCGTTTTCAGCTGGAAAAAAATTCTAGGGCGTAAGAAAGACACTGTTCCTAGAATTTCACTTTTCTAGAAAACGTATTTTATTAATAGTATTTGAAGGTACAAATAGGCAAAGAATAAATACTTCATCATCTCCCCGCCCACCGCGGTGACACCACGGGAGCCGAGCGCGGTTCGGGGCGGGTTTTCAAAGCTCGGGAAGAAAACACAGAAGCCGTCCCCGGGTCACCCGGGGAGTCTGTGCGAAGTTGGGGCTCCTGGTCAGAGGGGGTGGGTGGTGGCCACGCCTGAGGCCCAGAAGGGGTTTCCGGGCAGCAGCACGAGCCCTCCGGAGGCCGGAGTGACCGTCCTCCTCGCCCCTCGTCCCTCAGTCCACTGAGCCCACTGCAAGGCAGGGCCCGGGGTGTCCGACCCCCGATGCTGCCACACTCACAGGCGGCCGCCCGCAGCCCATCAGCCAGCCAAGGGGTTCCTCTCTGTGTGGACCCGACAAAGCCCCAAAACCCTGCTGAGGAACCTTCCAGTGCCCGAGCCGAGAGCAGAGAGCCCCTCACGGGCCAACACAGGCCTCAGGCCGTTCTGCAAGGTGGGGGTTCGCCTTCCCCCCAACTCACAGGGCGCCTCCCGCGGGTCAAAGTGCAGGACGAGAGGGACCGGCAGGCTGAAACGCAGCAGGCCCGTGGGGATCCGGACGCCCTCCAGGAGACCGAGCCCCCGCACCTCCTCACGTCACACCGGCCTGGCCAGCAGCGGAGCCCCAGGCAGCCCACGGTGGGGGAAACACCGACAAAGGACGTGCGCCATAGCTCACGTGGCTGTGAGCGGTGACCGTGACCCTGAAGTGATGGTGGGGCAGCCTTGCCTGCCGGCCGGGGCCAACTCCACCCCGAGGCCACACGGGCGCTCAGAGGAAGACGAGGCCACGTGTGCGGATGTCCCGGGCGCGGGGCCCACGAGGAGCTGGCGGCTCAGTAGGCCACTCTCCAGTGCGTGGGCTGCTCGCACGCCTCCTCCCGGTCCCCGCAGAACCGGTTGTACGTCGTCCGCGGGTCGAGCCCGAGGATCTCTCTCTCCTCGTGGATCCGAAAAGAGAACGTAGAGACCGAGGTTCCGATGAAGAACCTGCCAAGGAAGCAGGGGTCATGAGAGCTGCTCCAAGGGGCCCGGCACCCACCGCAGCCCTGCGGCCAGGCCGCGCATGTGGGGAGCAGTGGCCACGGGTCCCGCACAGGGAGGCTTGAGAACGCAGCCAGAGTCTGGCAGTCTGGGGCTTGGGGCGGGGTGCTGAGAGCCAGGCCGAGATCTGGGGACAGAGAGGTCAGAGAAGAGGACCCCGGCCCCATAGCCTGCACGCACGGGCTCAGGGGGACCCCACAGATGCGGAGAAACCAGTCCCCACACTCGAAGCGTGCTGGCCTCCTCCTGGGCCTGGTCCCCCCACTCTCCTCTGGGGTGGGCCTGCCTCCCGAGGCAATGACACACAGAGGGAGACCACAACTATGCTCTGCGGGGACACGCGTGATGGGAGGCTGTGGGCGGGCCCAGGGGAGCAGGGTCCTGGGTGGGGTCCCTACGGGGGCGGCCGGGACCCAGTCCGATGGCGGTACCGGGGAGAACGCTGCGGGTGGGGAGCACAACCTTGAGATGGGGCTGGGTGTCAAACCAGCCAACGCGGGACCAACCGCCACGGAGGCGGACGGACCACGGCAGGGCTGACCGGGGCAGAGGCACCTGGCGTGCGCGCAGATCCACTGGTCGATGATGGCCACGCCGCCGTCCCGGTACAGCTCTAGCTCCTCCCACGTGGGCTCAAACCGCACCATCTCGGGCAACAGCCGCCTCAGCTCCTCGTGCTCTGCAGAGCGACGGAGGGATGGTGACCGGGGGCTCCGCGGGCTCCACGGCTCAGGTCCGAGGCACGGGCACGGAACCCGGCGCTGCCTCCCGGCCATGCTGCGGGCTCACAGGTGCACCTGGGCCCGCTGGGGACATGACGGGGACCGGCAGCGGCGGAGCCGCGTACCTGTCCTGATGGCGTCCGTGGCCACGAACACCCTGTCCAGCTGGTGGGTCTTCATGAGGCTGCGAATCTTCTTCACGGCCCCATCCAGGCTGGGCACATCCTCTCTGTGACCCCAGATGAAATCTTTTCTCCTCAGGTGAACCGCGAGGTACGGGCCCCCCAGCGCGGAGCCCAGCGTGACCTGGCGGAGGAGGACCGGGAGCGCTGAGCCTTCAGGCCGCCACTGGCCCTCGGGACATGGTGAGCTCCCTCACAGCAGCGCCCGCCCACGGGCCCGTCTCTGGGACTCTTGGGGCCGCGAACTGGCTAATCACACAGACCCTTTATCCCAGTGCCATCAAGTAAACACAACTCCGGAAAAATCGTGCAAATTAGATGACAAAAGCCACCCATTCCTGCATTTTCCCCAGAAATGCGATCCGAATGCCCTGTAACTGCCGTGGGATCCTGCCGCTGCGCTGGAAGGCGCCCAGGGGACCAGTGCCTGGAGGCTCACCGGGACGCCCGTGACACCGGAAGCGTCGTGAACACCGCCCGCCCGGGACAGCAGCGTGTTACCGGCTGGGGTTATGTGCAGACCCAACCCTTCAGAAGGGACTTCTACGGACACAGACGACCCTGCGTCCGCCTGGGCAGTCGTCCTCCTCCCTCGCTCCTTCCCTGCGGCTCCTGCACCACCGGGCAGACAGCGCGGACCGGTCCGCGGCCGCTTTCACTCCCAGAGTGGTGCCTCCAGCTTGCCGAGGGGAAATGGAGCCGAGCCGTCGCCCTGAGCTTGTGGGGGCACAAGGGGACCCTCCCGAGGGGCGTCCGCCCAGAGACCGGCTCAGAGACCGTGTGCCTGGGCGGGCGCGTGTCCGTCGTGAGCAGCGGGAGGCGCTACCTTCATCTTGGTCCAGTCCTCCTGGAAGGGGATCCTGTCGGCCTCGTCCGTGGAGTTCAGGTACTTGCTTCGGAACTCGTCCCCCACGGCCCGCAGGTGCTTGGCGAACACCATGCTCCGCCGGGTCTGCGGGCGCAGAGAGCGCTGCTGAGCGCCCCGCCCCGCCCCACCCGGGAGCCCCGCAGCCTGGGCCGCCAACTGCGACCGGGATCCCGAGGAGGACGCCCCGGCACTGGCGGAGCTCGAATGCGGACGCGCTCCTCACAGTCTGCTGGCGACAGCTCAGCGACCAGCACGATCCACCAGGACGGTCCCCACACGCAGGGACAGGCCCCCACTGAAGGGAGCCACTCTCCTCACCACTAGCTCAGGGCCACAGTGCCCGTGAGAGGCGCAGGCCCTGTGGGCGCTGATGACAAGACCCTCTGTGCTTCGGGAATGACCCACTCGGGAGGCCCCCCAGGTCACGTGTCCAGGGAGCAGGGGTCTCTCCCGGGTCCTCCTGCCCAGCCGCCCCCGGGAGCGCCACACCCCTCAGACAGGGCAGACCCCCCCCAAAGCACAAGCCAGCGGCCACGAGGAGGGAGCGTGAAGCCCGATTCCGCAGGCTCCTGCCCGACCCACAGCACCAGGCACGCGCCCCGGGACGCAGACGAGCCGGTCACCCACAGCAAGCGGCGGCGTGGGGCGGGAGCTCACAGCAGGCTGCGTTTCTTCCCGCGATCGGCTGCCACGAACAGCCCCACGGTGAGACACGCCGACCAGCCGACCACGTGGGCCCCGGCGCTGTGGCCCCTCCCCCCGCCGCACCCCCGCCCACGCGGGTCAGCCAGCGCCCCCGTCTCAGACGTTCACAGGTGCGCGGAGCTGAGCGGCGGGGACCCGCGGGGCACTCACGTTCCAGTACTCCTTCCCCCCGTAGTGGTCGTGCAGGAGGTTCTCGGCTCTGTCCAGCATCACTGACCTGTTTCCGAACGACACAGAGCGTCTAACGGCCTGGGCGGCTGCTACCTGCTGCCCCGCGCACTGGGAACGGAGCTGAGTGCCTCCCGGGCGCACGCGGGCCGGTGCTGGGACCCCTCGGGGAGGAGGCTCTGCACACACTCCCAGCGGGGGGCTGCAAGTTCTCAGCGTCCGGGGACGGGGGTCGTCTTCTCCCGTCCCAGCCACTGAACTGGGAACAGCAAGGCCCCGGGACGACCCACACAAGACACAAAACAGATAAAACGAGGCGAACGAGTAAGACGGCCCCAGCAGCCTATGGAGCCAGACGGCGCCAGAGGACTCCCAGCAGGAGCGCAGCCGCGGTTCTCTGGAAGGTCTGTGACGCCGTAGACTCGAGCCCAAGGGCAAAAACACACAGGAGGACGCCTGCATCCCACCTGCACGCAACCACCCGAGTGAACCCCGCCTGTCTGTGCTGCTCGAGGCGCAGGCTCGCCCCTCCTTCGAGAGACTCAACTGCTCCCCTGCAGAGCGAGGCCCCATCAGGCCCCGTCCAGGGCGACCAAACAGCCCGAAGCACCAGAACGGGCAGAGGAGACACACCAGCAGGGGCCATGTCCACTAAGACCTGGAGGACGCGGGGACACGAGTCTGGGGGAGGCATATGGCCTCCTACTCTGCCCTCGTCCCTGTGTCCCGAGAGGGACAGGGTGCCAGGGAGGGGACGGCGTGGGCAGGAGGCTGCGGCCACCCCTCTGACCACTCCGAAGTCCAGCTCCGAGGAGGCTGAGACCCACCTGCAGAGGTGAGCGCAGGTGGGACCCGGGGTGACACAGCTGGGGGCTGCGGTGGGCCACCTCCTCACCCCGCGTCAGCCACCCGGGCAATCACCGGGTCCGCTGAATGAGGAAGGTCAGATCGCTGCTCCCTTCCAGTCTGGCCGGAGCCCTCACTGCCCCCTGCCCCCAGGACTCCACACCTGCCCACCGCCCCCTCAGACAGAGCCCTGTGCTATCCCGGGGTGACTCAGTCTCCCCCGCCCACAAGCAGCAGAACGAGACCCCGGCCGGTAAGTTCCCGCCCAGCATGGCAGGACGGCCCCATGGGAAGCTGCCCTCGCTGCACGGACCCAAGCGTGGGGACAGTCCCGAACACGGCTCTCCCCAGGGACACGTACGGCCTCCTCCTCCCTCCCAGCCCCGCCCCACTGTGGCCCGAGTACGGGGTGGGGACGCGGTTTACCTCTCCCGCGCCCGCCACACAGGCCACAGCCAGGAGAGCTCCCGACGCCAGCAGGACGACGCACGCGCACACACAGGCACACGTGCACGCGCACACACGCGCACACACAGCCTCGCCGGCCGGACACCACGCAAAGCCGGCGCTCACCTGGCCGACGTGTTCTTCAGCAGCACGGGGGCCATGATGGAAGCCGATCCCTGGACGGACAGACACGAGACGTTTAGCGCTCTCGTTTCTTCATAGCCCCAAAACCATCCCCTGGAAAACAAGAGCCCAGCCCCTCCGTCGGCCTGTGCCCAGCTGCGTGACGCCTAAGCCCGGACGCGCACGCGGACGGCTTCACCCCGACACGCCAGCCCTGCTCTCCGGGAAGAGCGACCGCTCGGGACTCCGGCCGGTGACACTCTCCTGAGATCCCGTGAAGAAACCACGACTCTCATCTGATTCCACGGGGCCGGGGGGCCGCTCGGGGAACTCCGGCCGGCAAAGCGCGCAGTGGGGCAGGAATGGGACACAAACAGGTCTCTTGGCCAGAGCCCGGGCAGTCACGGCCCCAAAACAGCCACGCCCCTTCAACGACCTCCCGGAGCACGGAGTTTCAAGCACCCAATCATTCTGATGCTTCGTCCATGGGTGCTGCTGGGGGGACAGCGCGAGCAGGTCCTGATGGCAAATGGGTCCAGGTGACCTGACCACCATGGCCACGGCCACGTCCACGAGCCTCAAATGCACCGTGGCTGTTGCTGCGAGGCCCGCGCTCCCACCCCCCGCCCCGGGCCCCCGCCCCAGCCGCACCTGTAGTACTCGTGCTTGTCCGGTGAGTACAGCAGCGGGTCGAGGCACGGCCGCTCGTCCACCTTCTCTTCCCAGGTCCCCTCCTTCCACCCCTCCGCGTAGCTCTGCAGGACGTACACCTGGTCGATGAAGGGCCCGCCGGACTCTGGAAGAGGCCAAGGACGACCACGTGACGAGAACCAGAAACGGACGCGCGGCATGAGAACCACCGCTTCCTTTAACGCCGCCCTCCGTCCCGTGGACCGCGGAGAACTCACAGAGGCAGACGCGGGACACAAGTGACATCAGGGCACGAGGTCCCAAAAGGCAGAGAGATGCTGCCTGGAGCGACGGAGCTCACCGGGCCCTGCTGCTCCCAGGGGCTCCTCACGTGTCCCCCCTTCCCCCCGCTGGGCCTGCCCTCGCCAGCCCACACTGCCTGGTCCTCACAACAGCCACGGGCCCCACACGTGCTGTCCCCCACGCTGCCCCACCAGCACACGCTCCCCTCCCTGCAGGGACCAGCCTCGTGGGGACTGCTCCCTTCAGGGCTGACCCTGACCCCTCAGAAGGCCATTTAAACCGCACCTCCCAGGACACCTGCCCAGCCACAGCCTCCCACCCCCACAGCCCGTCGCCCTTCCCACTCTCGTTTTCTCCGAGCCACTCCTCACCATCCGGGTCCTCCTCCTGGTCACTTGGCTTCCGCCTCCCCGCTCCCCACGGGAGTCCCAGAAGAGCAGGAGTCTGCATCCGTCCTGCCACGGCGCCCCCCGCCCAGAACCTGCCAGCCACGCACTCAGTGTTCACGAAGATGGGTGAGCGGAGCCCGGCCACAAGAGAGCCGCCCCGAGTGCAAGTCTGGTGTCTCCTCCACCCTCCCCCTGGGGGCTGCACCGCGGGTGGGGTCTGGTCCTGGAGCTCCAGAGGCCCCTGTCGCAGGAAGGCCAAGAGGCCCGGTGCCCTGTTGCACGTGTCCCGGCAGCCCGACCCAGGGCAGGCTCCCTTCCCTCCCCCTCTGTAGAGGGAGACAGCTGGGCAGGCGGAGGCCGAGCGGGTCCGCCCATCCGCAGCACGTCACCCAGGACGGCCGTCTTCTCTGCCCCTGCTGCTCTGGCCCCAGGCTTGAGGCTTCAGGAGCAGCAGGGAGGGGACCAGGTGCCCCACCCCGCATATCCCGTGTCCCCGCTAAACACCACGTCACGTGGCTGAGGCTCACACTTGTCCCCGTATCTGCCTGTCAAGAAACCCCCCGGCCACAGCCCTGTAGGGAGGTGAAGGGCTGTTTCCCTGAGATGCTCCAGGACCCGAGGCCCAGACTCGGTCAGACGAGGCGCCTGGCGACGGCGCCCATCGTGGCCCAAAGAAGGATGCGCTCCACACGTGCTTCTTACAAATCTCACAGTTTGCTTCTTCCCCGTGAACGAAGGTTTCAGGAGGTCCATATCGTCCCATGCCTGCAGCCGTCACGGGACTGACCCCGCCACGGGAACGGCCCAAAGGGACCGGGACTAAGGTGCCGTAAGAGCAGGACGTGGAAAACGCAGACGCGCAGCGGCGGCCGGGGCTCCGCGGGACCTCCCGTGGCAGGAGCTCCACATCGCGTCGGCGCCCCCTTCTCCAGGCTGAGGGGCAGCAGAAGGGTGTCGCGGCCTTTTAAGCGCGTGTCTTCTGAAAGACACAACGCCGAGCTCTGCGCACCCGCGCTCTGAGAAGATCCCCAACTTCGCTCTCTGAAAAGCGGAGACTGTGCAGGATTCAGTGGAACGAGACACGCTACGACGAGAACCTCCGCCAGCAGCGCAGGGAGGTGCCGGGAGGTCAGCGCCCCCTGGGGCATGGACAGCCGTCTCTTGGGGACACGAGGCCGTCTCTGCACGGGAGCACGTTGGGCACGGGCAGCCTTCCCACCACCACGGACCGCCCAGCGGCTCACCCGCTGCCCCAGGCTTCAGAGGCAGGGGCCAGGTGCTCGCACACTTCAGATGTGCAACCCTAGACCAATTCTGGAAGGAGCAGGACGGCGGGGAACTGTGAGTGCGAGACGGCAGCGGGGCCCCCACGCACACAAGGGTCAGCGCGCCCGGCCGCAGACAGCCGGCTGACCGCCCGCGACCACGGCCTCACCTGCAATGAACTGCTCGTACTCGATGACCGGGATGTTTCTGTTGAGACTCGGAAGGTCGAAGAAGTCGGACCAGGGAATGCGCACCTGGTGGATGTCCGGGCTCTGCCAGTGGTAGAGGCGGCCCCACGGGGGCAGCACCAGCACCCACTCCTCGGTCTCCAGCAGCGTCTTCAGGAGGGAGGCCACGCGGATGTACACGTCCCTGCGCAGGTTGAAGCCCTCTGGGGGGTTGACGTCGTACAGGAGGTACCTGGGGCGGCAGGAGAGCGGTGCTTGGGCAGTTCCCGGTGAGGAGGCGGCAGCGGCCAGCGTCCGCACAGCCCACCACTCACGGAGCCGGCGAGGGGCCAGCAACCACCCGCCCTGCGACCGGCAGAGTCTGGGCGACAAGAGCCCGAGGACCGGCCGCCCGCGGGGTGCTCGTCCGGGTCTCCCGCCCGGCTCCACTCTCAGCGGTCTCCGCAGACCCCCGCCCTGTCTGCGCGATCCGGAGGGGAACCAGAGCCTCCGCACGCGTCGGCTCACCCAGGACACCCGTGAGAAGCCGCTGCACGGACGCGGGGACGCGTCTCAATGTCTAGCGACGACCGTCGCCGGCAGTGCCCGCTCTGTCCTCCACCCCGCGCCCGCGGGCTGTGCCGCCCCGCACCCGCGCCCGCACGCCGGCCCTGACACCGCGCGGCTCCCGGGCCCGCGCAGACCCCGCCGCGACCGAGGACGCTGGGACGTAACCCCCCAGCCCGGAGCCGCAGGGGGCCCCGCTGACCATCCCGGCCCGTCAGCGCGCGGCGGGGGCTGCTCGGGTCGAGCCCCGGGAGCGGCTGGACCGCAGACACCCGTTTCCCGCCGCGGACACTCCCGTGGGCAGCCGGGGCGGCCCCGCGCGGACACGCACAGGAGCTCCGGGCCAGGCCCCGCGCCGGCCTCTCGACGCTGACCCACAGCCGGCCCTTCCGGGGCCTCCGGGACGCCGCAGCTGCCCCCGCCGAGCCCGGCTCGCGGCGCAGGCCCGAAGGCCGGCGGGGTGCGGTGCGGCGCTGACGGGGTGCGCGTGCAGGGATGCGGGGGTGCGGCGCCGACGGGGTGCGGGTGCGCGGGGATGCGGGAGTGCGCGCCGTGGAGCCCGCCCCGCCCCCGCCCCCGGCGAGGACACGCTTTTACCGTCTGCGGGACGCCGCCCCCGACAGGATGTCGGCCGCCGACTGGCCGGGCCAGAACTCCTCGCCCGACCCCGAGGCCGGCGGCCAGGACGCCGCTTCCAGCAGCACCAGGAAGACGACGCCGAGCGCCGCCATGGCCAAGGGCGGCCACGCACTTCCGGCGGCCGCGCCCCGCCCCGGAAGCGCCCCCCGCCCGCACTCCGCCGCGCGTCTCCTGAAGCCACGGCAACGCCACGCGTGCGTCTTGCGTCATTCCGAGGCTGGGCGTCTCCCGGAGCGAAAGTCTCTCGCGGGCGGCGCGGGGCTCACGCCGGGCAGGTGCCGGGCCTGTGGTGTTGCTGGTCTAGGGGCGGGGCCCCGCGTCTGTGGGCGGAGCCAGAGCGCCGGGGCGGGGCTGGGATGTGGGCGGAGCCAGGCCGGGCGGGGCCGACCTGGAGCGGGGGCGGGGCCGCGCGGGGCGGGGCGCTGGCGGAGGTGGGTTCTGGCAGGTGTGCCCGCGGCGCCGGTCTCTGCCTCCGCGGGCGGCCGGCGGGGTTCGGGGCGGGCAAGCCGCAGGGCTGACCCGAGGCCCGCACAGTTGGCCAGGTGCGGCCCCCGCGCCGCGGACCCGCCCGGCCCGGTGACCCGTAGAGCCGTTTCCGGGGTGACGAGGTGTATCCCGCTGGGAGGGGGGGGTCTCACTGTGGAAGACCGCGGTGCGAGGGCGGCAGAGCGGCCCCTCCGTGTCGACAGGCTCAGGACGCCGGAGCGGCTGGGGTGGAAGCTGCATCTGAGGAGCCGGACCTTGGGGTCAGCAGGCCAGCGGCTCCCGCGCCCCGTCCCTGTGCAGCCCAGGTCTGCACCCACCTGCGTGTGGGGCTGCGCGGCAGCGGCGGCGGCGGCAGGGGTCCCGCAGGAAGCTCAGGGCGGTGCGGGGAGGCCTTGCTTCCCGGCCCCTCGCGGCCACCCCTCGCTTTCCCGGCACCGTCCTCCCCTTCCCCCAGCAGCTCCCCGGGGACACTGTCTCTCTTAGAGGCGCTTAACTCCGCGTGGCTCCTGCCCGAGGGGACCCTTTGGGTGACCGGAGCTTTCCTAGTTCCTGGCATGAAGCGCACCCTGGGTCCCAGCCTGTGCCCAGCAGTGTAGGGACCGCGGGGGCAGGGGCAGCAAGGGGGGCCAGAGTGGTGGAGACGTCCACACCCCAGCTCCCGTCCTGGAACCGTGGTCTCCGGGCTTCTTGCCTGCGGTGAGCGTTTCTACTGTTGAAGCCACGTGGAGTCGAGCGCATAGAACAGGTGTTTGCCGGCTTCCCTCGGAGTGCAGAGCACACAAGGTCACCTTCGGGTTCTCTGCTCCAGGAGGGCCAGCAGCACGTACCCTCTGTCCCCCGGACCTGCCCTTCTGCCCTTGTCCCTGGGGCTGGATTCTTGTTCTTTGTCTCAGTAGAGCCGTCCCCAGACTATTCCCAGCAGTGTCTGTCCTGACCTTTCAGTCGCAGAACAGAAAGAAGTGGGGGCCTGTGTGCTGCCCCCAACAACCCTGGCGCCTCCCACCACTGCGCCCAGCCTGTTCCCCTGGTGTTGCCTCTACTATTTTAGAGTAAATGACTTTTTTTGGCAATGACATCAATTTGTTCCACTTGAAATATTTCTGTATGTATCTCTGAAAAGTAGGACATTTTCTCACAGCCACGATATCATTAATTCACCAAAAAATGTGCTACTTATGCTATAACATCAAATGCGCTGTCCCATGCACGGGCCCCTCGCGGTTTCAGAACGCCCTTCATCATGACAGGTTTGCTCAGATCAGGGCCCCCCTGGGTTCTCCAGAGGAACACTGGTCGATCTATGTGAGGAGATGGGTTACAGGGATGGGCTCAGTGGGCTCTGCAGGCCTGAGGCCCCAGGATCTCTGTCGGCAAGCGGGGGGCCCAGGGAGGCGGGTGGTGTTGGTCAGTCCAAGTCCAAAGGCCCGAGAACCGGGGGCTCCATTGTCTGAGCGCAGGACGAGACGGATGTCCCAGCTCAAGAAGGGGGAGAGAATTCACCCTTTCTTCCTCCTTTTTGTTCTACCCGGGCCCTCAGAGGGTTGGGGGATGTCCACCCTCTGGGGAAGGGGATCTTTGGTCTGTCCACCAATTCAAACGCTAATGTCTTCCGGAAGCTTCCTCAGGGGCACACCCACAAATGGATGTTTTCCCAGCGCTCTGGAGGGACTTAGCCGGGATAAGCTGACGCAGAAAATTCATCACCACAGGCTCCTTGTCTGAACCCGCCACCTGGACACCTGGCAGATCCCCTGCCTTCCCTCTCCCTCCTTTCCTCTCCTCCCCTCCCTTCTCCTCTCCTCTCCTCTTCTCTCCTCTCCTCGACCCTCCCCTTCCCCTCCTCCCTGTCCTCCCCTCCTCCCTCCCCTTCCCTCTCCCTTCCGTCTCTGCTGTTTAACCTCTGGATTACAAAAATGACCCAGGAGAGGTTTGTGAGTCTTTCTCAGAAAAAAGAAATCAGTAAGAAAAATAACCAAATTCCTTCTTCCCCTGCACAACGGGAGTCATACTTAAGGTTTCCTGCCTCAGTGTGAAGCCAGAGCCACTCACACGGTCCCCTCCTCCCCCCACTACAGCATCTGCCGGAGGGGACTTTGCCACAAGAGGGCAAGAGAGTCCTTTGACAGCAGGGATGGAGGCCCTGGGCAGAGGGAAGGGGCTGGGGAAGGGGCCGACCTGGAGCACACAGGGCCAGGCCCCCTTTCTTCTGCCCCCAAGAGCGGGGAGCTGCTCCCACCCAAGGTCCCCCCAAGGCTGAGCCGCAGGAGCCACCCCTGAGGGGGAGACGGACAGGGAAGCCCTTTGGCCTGGGGTCCAGCAGGTGTGCTGTGCAAGTCCCGGGGTCTCAGGAGATCCCGGCCACCTCAGACGGCAGGCGGCTCTGAAGAAGAACCTAGAGATTCTTCTGGAAGCTGGGCTTCCAGGAGGAGGTCCTGCCAGAGCCAGGGAAGGAGTCGGGGGAAGGGGCAGCTTTAGGGCCACCTGGCCCCACCTTGGGTCCGCAGAAGCAACCCTGGGGTGGGCAGGGAGGGGTCGGGCCGCGGGGGCTGCAGGAGGTAGCTCACTGCGGCCGAGACCCCTCCAAATCCTTCACCTGGAGAGGTTGGCGGCAGACACGGCGGGGCTGGAGAGACAGTTGGTAGAAGTGGGTGTGGGTGCGGCCGGGGCCGAGAAGCACACTGAGGCTGGGGGGCACACACACCCCAGTTCACACTGTTTTCACAGCATGGACACCCTGCTTTTCAGTGTTCAGAGTGAGTTACCAGGACCCATGAGCAAGAAGTTTCCGGACGGTGCGGAGCTGCCTGTGTCCTTGCCTGTCACAATGTCCCGCCGCAGAGTCCTGCCTCTGTCCCCAGAAATGCATAGCAGAGCTGACTGCCAGGTGAGTCACCGCTGGTGAGAAGCAAGGGACTTCCGGTTAGGCCAGGAGCCACGAGGGCTTTTTAACAGGAGCCTCTGGGGCCTGCCTGCTAGGACTGCTCTCGAGGGACAGCACCAGTGCTCTGGGGAGCCAGGCCACCAAGTGACCAAGACGTGAAGGCATGCCGATTCCTGCGGTCAGCACGTGGGTCTGGCTTCCCTACGGGACCTGCCCACAGTGGGACCCACTGTCATCTCGGGTGGTGGTGGACCAGGACCTGCAGAAGGGCCAGTCCGGGGGAGTCCCAGGGCTCCGCAGTGAAAGTGCTGCTCAGTGCTCCGTGCAGGCCACCTCCCCCCGAGGCAGAACCACAGCCTTTCCCCGGACTCGTGTCCTGCTGCCTGGGAGACATCCCTGCCGCCTCACATGGGGAAAGCCACCAATCTCAGAACTAGGTCATGGGGGTGGGGAAGGCCTGTGGTGGGGGCCGCTCGCAGGGATGCTGGCTCGGGGTGGCAGGGAGGACGCCGCCTGGCAGGTCCCCGCGGCTGGGTCCTGAGGCTGACCTGTGTGTGGGGCGCAGGGCCTCTCCCCTCTCCGGGCAACGAGGGGAAGCTAGACTCCCGGTGAAAAGTCAGCCCCACACGGCCGGACCACAGTTCAGGAAAACAGCTTGGTCTGCCTCAAGGCAGGTAACTCAGAAAGTCCTTTACAGATGCCCTGCGTCCCTCCTTTGTGGCTCAGGGTACTCCTGAGCCTGCGTGTACCTTCCGGGGTGGGCTTCCTGCTAGGGCTGAGCCTGGGAGCCGCCGGGTCCCCGTAGACTGTGGGAAGATCCATGAGTGTGCGAGGGGGCGGGGCAGGGATCAGGCCACGGGTGGGGGCCAGGACTGTGGGAATGGCCCACAGCCTTTCTGGAATCAAAACACTAGCAAATGTCAAAACATGTGTAATTTGTTTTACTGAAACAGGCTGCTTATTTGTGTCTGGATGGCCTGTGTCAAGGACGCGTCTTGGCCCTTCTCAGAGGATCGCGTCAACGGAAACACACACAGATGGTGGGGGTCTGGGGGCTCGGGACGAAGGGTAGAACAGGAATTCGTGCGGGCCGCAGGGAGACCCCACCCACGGAGCCCCGGGGGGACGACTCCACGTGACCCCTGCTCTCTCGGTTTGGGGCTCTGGATCCGGCCACGGTTGTGAATTCTTCCAGACCTGCCGAGGGCGGACCTGGGGGCCGCGGTCAGATCCCGCCGGTGAGAACTGGAAGAGGCTGGGTGTCATTTATCCCGCGCTGGCGGCCTAATGCACTGTAGCTGGGGGCCCGCCGCCCCAGCACCCAGGTGGCCACGGACTCGGGCTCGACCCCGCTGCGGTGCCTGTCACTGCTGTCACAGGCCTCCCTCCGCCCAGAGGCTGTGGCTGATGCTGTCCTCTGCCACCCCGTGACCACCCGTAACCTCCGGCTCCCCCCTCCTGTGGGCTTCCCTTCTCCGCCGGGGATGTCTCCGCTCCCCAGCCTCTTCTCTGCCCCTTTTAGAAGGTCCAGGCTCCTTTTGCTCAACAAGGTGGTAACAGACACACCACCAAGGTGGGGGCGGGTCACGCATCCCTGGGGTCGGTGGAAGGCAGAGCGGGCGAGTGGACAGAGGCCAGTGGGCTGTGAGGTTGTCCTTATCAGAGGCACAGCCGAGGGACACAGCGTCTTTACCGGGCAAGGGACCCCGTCCTTGCTGGCATGAAACGCT